GATCTAATCGATTATTTTAAAGGAAATAATCGATTAAAATGAAAATAATGCGCAAACACAAAGGGCCCAAGCCAAGTGCGATTGGAAGCACTTTGGCTTCTAACTCGTTGTTTGAGACAACGAGAATAAGAAACGCTCCTACGATTAAATCTCCCTTATTCAATTAATTTGAGTAGGGGAGAGAAAAAGAGAGTCCAAAAATTATTTTGTGTGTCAAACAATACACGAAAAAATATTTAAAGTATATTTTCTCACCAAAGAAAATTGTGTAACATTAAGAAAATGTTTAAAGAAATTTTAACACACTTATTTTGAGATTGACTCACTAAAATATTTTAGAGAGAGAAAAAATGATTTTTCAACTGACTCAAAAATAATTTTTATCCCTCAGAAATTAAATTGTTTTGTGCACAAGATATTGTCATCCTTACAAGAATCCTAGACTCAATAAAAATTAAAAAGTCTTCGGAGTCTTCACATCACTTCGAAAAACTGCGTTGGGGGACCGTTGATTTTTATCCCGTAACTTTCTTGATACGCCTCTTTTCTTTTCTCGGTACGAAAAGTAAATTTTCGATCATCGTTTGAATTTCATCATCCTGTTTGTCATTTATCAAAACAAAAATATTCTAGAAAAATAATAAAGGGGTTTGAACTCATGTCCAACACTTAGGATCTGAATTTTGGCTAACATTGTTTTTACTCTTTAGTTGTTTTAAAGAAACACATTTACTTTACTACGTGATGGTTTATTTGAATAAGTATTGACAAGAAGTAAGTTGTGTCTAGCGAAAGACGTTGAATCAGGCGGCATATGGGAGGCAACCTATTTACTTTTCAAACATTTTTTTAAAATTTCTTTTTACTCCTACTTATTGTTGTAGTTTTTTTTCTTTTAGTTGTTGATTGCATTCTTTTTCCTTTTTAATATTTTTTTAACATGACCCACTTATTTTTATTTATAGCGTTTTTAATTTTTCTTTAACTATCTATGCTTACTTCTAACTTTAACTTCTTGTTGTTGTACTTAATTTTTTCCCCTTGTGATGATTAATTTGGTTTTTATTCTCTTTCATTTGAATAACCAACTTACTTTTGTTATTTTTTTTCCCTTATTGATGTAATAGTACTTGTTGTAATTATAGGAATTTTTTTTCTTTTCTTTTTCATTTAGTTTTTTTAAGTATAAAATAAAAACAAAAAAGTGATTTGTTGAGCTTAATTATTTTTTACTTGTGCTTCTAACCATCTACTTCAAGAGCTTTTGCAAGATTTATTGAGTTTTAGCTGGAAGCAGGCATGTTTGGAGTAAAAATCTGCACAAAAATGGTGCAAAATCTATTATGAAACAACTCTTGGTGCTCGGGTGTTGGTATACTGTCAATTTTTTGTTTCTTAAAGCCTTGGGTGTTTAAATTTGGTCTTCTTTGGGTTGGAAACTAAAAAATTCTACACACTGAAAATTTATTTTTGAGCTGAAACTGAAAAATATGCACCTTGTAAGCTTGTTTCTTTAGTGTAAAATGAAAATTCTACACTTTTCACGGCTTATATGTGCTAAATTAGAAAAAAATCTACATATTTGAAATCAGATTTTTTGTTCTTCAAGGCAAAAAAAACTTGGTCTTAGCCTTCTTTTTGCAGATTTTTAGGTCCAAGAAAAGCATGATAATGATTGGGAGTGATGAATTGATGCTCGTATATTTTTTTTAAATTTGCATTCTCCTTCCCATCTTTTCCCCTTTACTTTTGCTTTATTACTCCCAATCCCCTTTTCTCTTAACTCATTCTCTTGGCTATATCATTATTATTCATTTGCATATCATATAGATGCATCAAGGACTATGCATGATTTAAGTGTGGGGGAGGTTCTCATGTGTATTTCATTTTTTGGAGGAGTATATTTTTGGGCAATTTTTTTCCCAATAAGTTTTAAGTCCATATGTTTTGTCATTCTTAGTTGCATATCTCTTTATTTAGAGCATTATTTTCAACTTTGACCCATAAACTTCTTTTTTTTCCTCTTTGAGCTTTATTCTGATAGTTGACAAATGTATACTTTGTAAACTCACATTGAGTCCTATGCTTGTTTTCTCTTGGTAAAATAACCTTAAAAAGTTTGAATATTTCTAGGTATCCTTAATATTTTGTTTTCTTGAACTGGCAATCCTCATACTATCTAGATGCTGATCTAATTAACCTTGTGATCTTTAAATTTGAAAAAACACTAGTTTTAGGAGCCTTTTTTATTTTGTAGAATATTGTGTGATTTTTATATTTTTAGGCTTATTTTGATAAATTTTGCTACCGTTGTCATTGAGCAATTTGAAGCATAGGATTCCCTTAGGAAACTTTTTTGTGGCAACTTTAGAGCATTTTTTTAGAACCCAAATAATCCATTGTTTAGTTCTCCATCCTTGTAGGATTTTTAGCTCACATTGTTTTCAAAAATGTTTTGGGCATAAAGTCTTAGGAGTGAGTGTGTAAGGTGTATTTTGTTCTTCTTGATGATGATAGAAACTAATCTATTTTCTTTTTGGTCTTTTGAACGCATACGTTCAAGTCTTAAGTGTGGAGGTATTTGATAAGTTAGGTTTGAGTTAGTATTTTTTATTCTTTTTTAGGCATTTTTAATATTTTTAGAGTTTAATTTTTAGTTGTTTAGCTTAGTTTTATTTTAATTCTTACTTTTAAATTCTTTTTATTTTGTTTCAAAATTAGTAGCTTTTTAATCACTTTTTACGTTTTATTATTTTTATTATTTTATTTTCCCTAACCCAAAATTATTAGATATCTTATTTTTTGGTGAAAAATATAGCAAAAGGCCAAAAACGTTTTAAAACAAGGGGTTGAGTTTCGACCGAAGCCCAAACCCAACATATTAGGAAAACAACTCAGGTCCTCTCTTCACTCTAATTCAGCGTAAGAAGGAAAAACAAATATGCGTTTCGTACAACTCTCCATCGCCGAATTCATCGAGCAGCGGAAACCAAGCCTCCAACGTCTCTCCTTCTCCTATGCTCCAAGATTCAAGTCTCCAACGGGCAAAAATTCAACGGTAAAAAGCTCTATCTTGCTATAAATTGGTGATAGATTAAAGCTTCAAAAGGGGGGGGACAATGGATAGGAAACACAGAGGCAATAGCTTCGGGCAGAGGCAAGAGCATGGTTCCTCCATCACAGCTCCGATTCCTTCAATTTCTTGATCTTCTTCTTCATAATCTGGTAACCCTTATTTGTCAATTTTTATTTTTTTCCTCCAATTCTATGTAAAAGTTTGTTTTTTTTTATTCAATTTTTACATTTTTCTTTGCTTGTTTGTTAAATTCAAAAATTAAAAAATGGTTGGTGTTCTTTTATGGGTATTTTCTTTAATGCTTATATTAAATCCCTTATGAATGATAATTGATTCAAACTAGTTTTTCTTCAATTATTGAGCAAGTTGTTGTTGAATTGGTTGAATTGCATAATTTAATTTCATGAGTAGGTTGATATGAGGAATTCGGTTTTTGTTGAAGCTATTTTAGCTCCATAAGGTAGTTAAATGAAATCCGGATTCATACGTGATTCTTTGTTGTGATTTGTGTTTGTTGATTTTAAGAATTTTGGACTTTTTAGCCCCATAAGACGATTCATTTTGCTTCGAATTCGTTATTGAGTGATTGTTATGTTTTCGTATGTTTGTTTGTTGTTTTCATAAAATTAAGGTTGTTTAAGCTCAAAAAAAATCTCAATTTATTGAAAATATGTTGTGTTCATCTATGTAAATAGAAAAAACTTCTTTGGTTTGAGAAGTTCATGGAAATCTGTGAAATGTGCTCTTCATTAGGAGAAAAGGTTTATTAAAATGTGGTGGTCCCCTAAGTGGTGAGATACAAAGTCTAGAGGGGGGTGAATAGACTTTGTTACAAATTTAAAAACTTTTTTGTTTCTTTTGAAAACGTGAAATGAGTATGAATCTAAAGTTCTTGAGAATTTAGATTATGTGCGGAAGTTGGTGGATTGATGGAGCAGTAATGAATATGGATAAGTTAGTTTCACAGTTAATATAATCACAAAATAAGTAAGGATAAGAGAGAGAGACACGCAAACTTTAACGTGGTTTGAAGGTGGGGTAATCCTTCTACGTCCTCAAAATCCACTATGTAGTTGGTTGTTGAATATTAACCAACAGTTACACTTAGTGAATTTTTGCACAGTATATCTTCGCAAGGATAATATTGCTACTGCACTCGTGCTGGCTTTGTTGTTCCTTCGAAGGTCAAGTTTCTTCAAAAACTGCAAGGTCCGAACAATAGGACTTGCAAGATCAGCTTATAGGAAAGTTGATGTCCCCGTTTTAATCAAGATGTTTGATTAAAATTGTATCCTTCAACGTGGTGTGGTACTTGAGGCAAGGAAACCTTCATGTGTTTTCACTTATAGCTCTTTGGTAGAAGGAGGAGTTTGCTTCTGGTGTGGAGTGGGAATAGATCCTGGCCTCCTGGGCCCTTCCTTGGGCGTGGTTGGCCGAAAATGTTGTCCTTGATTTTGTTGATGTCTTGGTGTGCGGTGACCCCACTGTCAAAGACTTTAGGCCTATTGCTTGCCTAAATGTTCTTTACAAAGTCATCACCAAGATTCTTGCAAAAGGTATGGCATCTATTCTCCCTGACTTGATTGACCCAGCACAGGGAGCCTTTGTTCCAGGAAGATCTCTCGTGGACAACTTTCTGCTTGCACAACACCTCGTCAGAGATTATGCTGTCAAAAGATCTACCCCTAGCTGCTTGATTAAATTGGATATAACTAAGGCCTATGATACTGTTTTCTGGAGTTTTTTGAAGGATGTTATGGCTGGCCTGGGCTTTCCTTCAAGATTTATCTCTCTTGTCATGGAATGTGTTTGTTCTGCCTCGTCTTCTATTATGGTTAATGGAGACAGTCACAGTTTCTTCCCAAGTAAACGGGGCTTGAGACAAGGAGACCCAATGGCCCCCACCCTTTTCCTTTTCTGTATTGAGTATTTTTCCAGATTACTCAACAAAAAGGCTAAAGAGGGGCCTTTTAACTACCACAAGGATTGTGCTGGTTTGGGCATCACGCACTTGGCTTTTGCTGACGATCTCATGTTGTTCTCTAGAGGAGATCTCCATTCTGTTCAAGTCTTGATGGACGCACTGGACCATTTCTCTAGAGTTTCTGGGCTGACCCTCAATCCCACTAAATCCAACATCTTCCTCGCTGGAAAATACAGGGACAGTAGTCATGCTCTTTTGGCTCTTGCCTCCTTTCCTCGTGGTCAGCTTCCTGTTAGGTACTTGGGCCTTCCTCTTGCTTCTCAAAGGATATCAGAGAGTGACTTTGCACCGCTCTTCAAAACTGTGGAAGGTTATTTGTCTAAATGGAGTACCCTTAAACTCTCTTATGCTGGGAGATTGGAACTGGTCAGGGCTGTTATACAAGGGGTGCAATCCTTTTGGCTTCAGGTGTTCCCGGTCCAAAAATACATTCTTGACCGCATCACCTCCCTCTGTAGAAACTTCCTCTGGGGCAGTAAACTTGCAAAGGTGGCCTGGGTGGATATTTGCAAGCCAAAGACTGAGGGGGGGCTGGGCCTTAAAGATATTACTTCGTGGAACAACACACTCTTATGCAAACTCCTTTGGAACCTAGCAGCAAAGAAGGACTCCTTGTGGGTTAAATGGGTCCATAATATCTATATTCAAGGCAATGATGTTTGGCAGTGGCAACCCAAGAAGAGGAATTCTGTTTTCCTCAAGAGATTAGCCCATGTACGAGAGCTTTTGGTCCAAAAGCTGGCTGACTGTAATTCCAATATGGACATGGCTATGCAACCCTACTGTTCGGCAGGTGTTCTTATTCCCAGGAAGATCTATGATTTATTTAGGGCAAAGGCCAACCCCAAGCCTTGGATGGCTTTTATTTGGCAAAGTTTCATTCCTCCTAAGTGCTCCTTTACGATGTGGCTAGCACTTAGGAGGAGACTGCCCACCAAAACCAACCTGGAATTCCTCAGAGTGCCCATGGAATGTACCTTCTGTGGTCAAGAGCTTGAAGATGTGGACCACCTGTTCTTTACCTGCGCGGTTTCTAAAGACGTTTGGAAGGCTGTCAAAGACTGGCTACGGATGGAAGGGCAGTTGAGTACTCTCCCTAGAGCTATCAGGTGGATGAAGGGCTTTAAAAGAGGAGATGGAATTCTCAAAAAGGCAAGGAAGATTGCCTTAGCTTGCACGGTTTTCCACTTATGGAAACAGCGCAATTCCGTTTACTTTGATCATGAACCTCTATGTGTTGAGACTATGGTTTTTAAAATCAAGGTTATGGTCTTTTCCATTTTGGGGAGATTATGGCATCTACGTACTCTTCCCTTCTGATGTTGTTGTATTTGCTGTTTGTTGGCCTGTGCGCCCTTGTTTTGAATTGATTACTTGTTTACGTTTGAACTTGGTGATGTTTCCATTTGTTTCTTTGGATTTGGTTTTACCATTTCCCAGCTCGGGTATGCCCGTTCTATTTGTATATCCTACTCTTTAATCTATTTACATTTTATCGTTAGTTAACTGTGAATGATGGTAGATTCAATGATCCGTTGGCTGGATGGATTAATCATTCCCTTGTATTTGCTGGCTTCAATTTGAACGAATTGAAGAGGGTGACTGGGGATTGTCCTTGGAGTAATTTTTGGACATAACCAATTGTTTGGAGAGGGATTCCTTTGTCACAGAATCTGTCATCTACATGTTGTTCAAAAATTCTGAACTGTAGCTCTTTATCGAGTGGAGTACTCAATTTGTCTTCTAATGCTTGTTCAAGAATTCTGACCGAGCTCTTCAACTTGTGGAGTCTAGAACTTGTCTTCTTGTCATTTGTTCTTGAATCAGCTAAGTTATCCTCAATCTACTCGTTGAAAATCAAGAGATTGATTTTTCCATGCCAACGGGCAGAATTTCTTCATTCATGACTTAGATAAAGTTTCTAAGTGTTTTATCACTTGTCCGTTCTGAGAGTTCCGGTCCACCTTGAGAAGTCCGGCTCTTAGCTTGACTGTTCCAAATTAGTCATCCTAAGACTTCCGGGTGACAAAGTGATCCGTGCTAGTGTTCCGATTTGGATGACTTAGTCTTCATACGGATGGCTGTGAGACTTCCGGGTAGAGTTGAGCATTCCGGTTTTTAGAATTCCAAAGTCATCTGACTTCTTTGAGAATTCTTTTCTTGTCTCCGACATTTCCGAGCAAGAGTTCCAATTTCCATATCACTGACTTTGATAAGTCTTCTAAGAGTGAAAGCTCAAAAATTCAAAATGAAATATCACTGGTTTTATTTGAAAACTCAAGAACTTGGTTTTAACAATATTTCTAAAAAGAAAATTACATGCATAATGGGGGGGACCTAGAGTCCATATTACAATCTAAATACATCATCATCAAAATCTATAATATTTTTCCCAACAATTTTCCCCTTTTTGATGATGACAAACAAGTGTTTAAGAGTTCCGGTCGCTGTACTAAGAACTAATTTTATAACTTTCTTTTAGTTTCTCATAATATACAGCTTGTTAACAAAAACTCTTAAACAAAATACAGTGCAAATTACAACTGTTCCTAAACCAAATCTAGTCTTGAGATTTGTGATATTTTTGCCACTTGTTGCTCTCTTCTTCAGCTGTTTTTGCTTGAAATTGTTGATGGCATTGAGTTTTGATGGATCTCAACATCCAGGGAAGAAATTGAGGTTTAAGGATCAACATCTCTCCCAGAAAAAAAAGTTTGAAAAAGAAAGAGAAAAGTGGTGAAAGAACGGAAACGAGGAGAAGAGAAGTGGAGACTTGAAAGATGAAGGAAAAAAAAGAATGAAAGTTTTGAAAAGGAAAAGATGAAGGGTAAAAACGAAAGAAAATGGAAAATTTTTAAAAATTTGAAAAGACCAAGAGAAAAATGAAATGGAATGTTTGAAAAAACAAAAAGTGAAATGAGAGAGTGAGACTGAAATGGAGAGAAGGAGAGGGTAAAGAAAGTATTGAAAAAATGGAGGATTATAGGCGTAGGGAGTCTTGATCCAGAGAAGGTGTGTGGCGAGATGCAAAAATGCGAGATTCTCAGCACATACCTTCTCTACTATCAATATTTTCACCACAGACCTTGAATTTCTTTTCTTCCCACAAGACTTTTTCCAACGCTGTCTATGAGGGTAAGGAAGAAGAATTTCGCCATTGAAGACAACTTCCTGGGTGGTTTTCTCAGATAGTGAGTTTGAAGACTTTTCATATTGGAAAATTTGTTATGATGGAAATGGGTGTGGAATGGCTCGCTTTATATAGGTGGGGGAGAGGAGAGAGGGTGATTCACGGGTTTCATTAAGTGGGTGGTTGAATGGTAAAAGTAAATGGTTTTCAACTTCCAATAGAAATTGAAATTTGAAACGTTGAAAACTGTTCATCAGTTACCAATTACCAAAACTATTTCAAAGTGAACTGAAACCAATAACGTTGAGTTTTCTAAGGGAGTAACTATTTTGTTTTGGCTAAGCCCATAAGAATGGTTCAAAAAAATCTATGCACTAAAGGGAAATTATTCCTATTGGGTTCTCAAGGCCCAAAATAAAATCTATTAATTTTTCATTGCCTAAAGTTAGTTCTAAGAGGATGAGGTAGTACCGAAATATAAAATTCATTTTCAAAAAAATGGTACTAATTTTCCAAAGTCCTGTACAGTTAAAAGTCCTAAGGACCAATTCTTAGAGCAATAGAAAGGAAATGAACTTAGGAATGAAACTCAATTTAAGAAGACAGATATTGTAGAATACTTGAATCGGAGGTCTCCAACTCAATAGTAAAAAAAATGAGATATCTGACTTCTATGCTTAGAGTTCCGTCAGTAGTCCATTACCAAAAGCAATACATTTATATTGCCCCTAAATTACATTCCCCTGAATGTAAGCATGAATAACAAATCTCAAAACTCATACTCAAAAATCATATTCAAGCATAATTGTAAGAGTTTTAAGCAAAGAATATTTAAATAAGAAGGTGTTTTCATCAAAACAATAAGTGTAAATCTAACTTCCCCCTGTTTTGATGAGATAAATCTTCAAGTCTTTCTTCGTTTGTATGGTCTGGAGGATTCGGAAGCTGCACCCAAACCTTGAATGAGTCCACATTCAGCTCTAATGCGCTTCAGATTCTCCATGCGCTCCTTGTGCTGTCCTTCATTTATGAAGTGCAAGACATCCGTTCCTATGGCTTCTGTTCCATCAAATTGGTTGTTGCTTAAGTGTTCCAGTGAGAGCTCCGGATTGCTTTGCTGGGCACCCAGGAGAATGTCACTCAGCTGCAGATGGGTTGGGATGTAACTCGCTTCTCCTTGAGTGACTTGGATGGGTTTCCTGGGGTTTTCCGGAAGATTGGTGTATTGGAGAGTTACATCTAGTTTGTGTCCGGGAGTGAATGTTGTCATACCCTTGAGCAACCGGAAATGTTCCTTCTGATTTTCTGCGAGGACTTTCAGATAACCTTGAGTAAAACACTGGTTTGCTTAGGTGAGTGCCAGTACAGATCTGATGTTCATCTGAAGAAGGCCCATTTGCTTTTGAAGACTTCTTGTAACAGCAGCTAGGAGTTGTTTAACCTCCACCACCTCTTTGAGTTGGAGCTGGAGTCAGAAGCATAGGTCATCATCGTGGTGCTCAACGAGGAACTCATTTGAGATATGATCTCAAGAGTCTTGGTAAGAGAATTCCTTATGCCTTGGAGGTCTAAGTTATGCCTTTCTTCAATTCTTACCAAAATTTTCTAGAATGAGGTTGTTTGAGACTCCAGGGTAGAGTCAATCATTCCTTGGACTCTTTCTGCCCATGTCTCAGGCATCTCCTCCAGAAAAGTGTGTGTTGGGGTTGAGCTATGGAAGGTAAAATGAGTTACCTGGTAGGGTGGAGGTAGGCTGTGGAAGCATTGCAGAGACTCAGCTTTCTCTTCATTTCCAGCATCCTCTTCACCAATCTTCGAAGTCTTGAAAGATTCTTCCTCAGCTTCTTCATCTTTGTAGTTTGAGATATGTTGGGAAAGGGAATCTCTCACAACTTCTTCATTGTGATGCTCAATGATAGTAATTGGGGTTTCAGCAGTAACCTCCATGTTAGCTATCTCAGCATCTTCACCTGTTTATGCTAGGTTCCTCTGAACGTTTACTTCCGGAATTTTCTCAGCTTCTTCTTCTTCTGTATTTGGATTTTTGGTGTCAGCTTCCAAATTCTCATTAGAATTTCCTTGGGTTTCAAGTCCAGCTGCCTGGTTGGATATCTCACAAGCAGTTGTGAGAATCTCTTGAACTTAAACATGAAGAGAGTGAATAATTTCTTCAGCTTGAGCTGCTTGGTTGCCTTCTGGGGCAGAGGAGTTTTCCGGAAATGTTTGGAGTTCCTCTGTTGTGGCTTCAACATCTTCTAGCATCTCATCTTCAGCTTCCTCTTCAAGGTGACCTCCTTGGGTATTCCGTGCTGGATTTGAGAATATGGACTTAAAGACTGTTGTATCCTCATCATCAACTTCATATTCAGGAGGGGGAGAGGTTGATTGATATTCCAGCAGCAAGCTTTCACTGGTTCTTCTGCAGATCCAATCTTCATCCAAAATCTGCTCACAGGAGCAGTCAGTTGGCAATCCAAGACAACTTTTTATTGTCTTCTCATTGTCAAATTGGGCCTAGTCAAGCATCTGGTCCTCTGAGTTTCCAACTTTCCAAGCTCTCCATATAATGTACATCTTGATGAAGCAGTCTATTCTCTCATCAATGAGATGTTGGGATGAAGGAGATGGAGAGTTATGACCTTGACTTTGTTCATGAGTCTCTTCATGATCTTGGAAAGTGTCTTGGAGTTGTTGTGAGTTCTCCGGATTGGAATTTCCGGATTCAGAGGGAGTGGAGATTTTCTTCTTTTTCTTATTTTGGAGTTCTCCTTGATCAGAGAGTTCCTCCTGATCTAAAACCACCTACTCAAGATTCTGTGGTTCTTCAGCACTAGGAGAGGTGGATGCCACTTGTTTCTTCTTTGAAGCCTTCTTCAAAGTGGTGGAATGAACTTCATTTGAAGATCCTTCTTCTTTAGCAACAGAACTAGCTTTGCTTTCTCCTTTGATTGATAGGTAGTACAACCAGAATCTTTCCTCATACTTCATGCCATCTGCGGCAACCTTCAGGCACTCTAAAACATACCCAATGTAGAGTCCTTGGAAAAGGAATTTATGCCCAGGTTGGCCAATGTGCTTGGTGATGGAATTGAAGAAATGCTTAGCCCAGTTTACCTGGGTTTTGGAAATGAGGGAATTAATGATGAATGCTCTTTCTTGAGTGATGTCATCAGCATGTCCTCCATAGTCGCATTCCAGACAGCCAATGATTAATTCCAGTAAGAGCTCGTAATCATTCTTCAGATCTCCTTTCTTCGCTGGACCACTATGAACATTTCCAGAAATCCCAATCTCACTTCAATTGAGAGCCTTGGGGGAGATCATCCAAATGTCAATCCCAGATTTGGGCAGATGAAGCTTCGTTCTCAACTTCTTCTGTGAAATTTTTACTTCTTTGTCTCCTACAGTAGAGTGAATAAATGGCGTAGTCTTTGTTGGATCCTTCTTGGATTCAGAGAATTGGATTTCTCCATTCGTGTAGAACTCCAGAACTTCTCCTTCATATTTGTTGTGAATTTCCAGATTGAGAAATTCTGAGAGCCCTTGCGCATCTATCATTTCGCTTCCAATTTCTTGAAGTGGACATTAGCACCTCCAATCTTCATTTTTTTGAATTTGAGAGAGGAGTTTCAAAAAAATTAGGGTTCTTCTAAGATTTTCGCGAGGAAGATGACGAGGGGTTCTACTGTGCTGAGTGGGCAGTTGAGATTTAGATAGTGGCGATTGAGTTTTGTTTTGGGCAGTTTTTACGGCTGGTGGCGATTGGGTTTTCACTGTTCCCAAAGCCATGTGCCCACGCGTTGCTTCATCAAATGTGGTGCGTGAGATGCCACGTGTACCGCAATCATTCTAATAAAATTAGACCAATTTTGTGAAGTAAATTCTGAAAACCTGGCTTCACTTAGTGGTTTTGTGAAGATATCCACCAATTGCTCCTCAGTTGAGATGTACTCAATTTTGATATCTTTCTTTTCAACATGATCCCTGATGAAGTGATGTTTGACATCAATGTGCTTAGTTCGAGAATGATGCACTGGATTTTGTGAGATGGCTATAGCACTTTTATTTTCACAAAATATTGTCACCTCCTTTGTTTTGACTCCATAGTCTAGTAGTTGTTGCTTTAACCACAAGATCTGAGCACAACAACTACTAGCATCGATGTACTCTGCTTCACCTGTTGATGCAGAGATGGAGTTTTGCTTCTTGCTGAACCAAGAACCAAGATTTCCGCCAATGAATTGATAAGTCCCAGAAGTACTCTTTCGATAAACTTTGCATCCGGCAAAGTCAGAATCTGAGTATCCCACTAACTCAAATGAGCTGCTCTTAGCATACTATAAACCCATATTTTAAGTTCCTTTGAGGTATCTAAATATCCTTTTGGCTGCAATTAGAGGACTCTCCTTTGGTTTGGATTCAAATCTAGCACACGCACCTACTGCATATGAGATATTCGGACGACTAGCAGTAAGGTAGAGTAGATATCCGACTATTCCTCTGTATAGAGTTTGATCAACATCCTTTCCATCCACATCCATGTCAAGTTTGGTGGATGTACTCATAGGTATAGAAGCAGATGAAATCTGATCAACTTTGAACTTCTTGATAAGATCCCATGTATACTTGGCTTGATTGATGAGAGTTCCTTCACTTCTCTGCTTGATTTGAAGACCAAGGAAGTAGTTGTGTTCCCCCATCATGCTCATCTCAAATTTTCCTTGCATGAGGGTGGAGAACTTAGTGCAAAGAGCTTCCTTAGTTGAGCCAAATATAATGTCGTCCAAATAGATTTGGACCAATAGAAGATCTTCACCATGTTGAAGTTTGAACAAGGTCTTGTCAATGACTACTTTGATGAATCCGATGTCTGTTAGAAACTAAGTCAATGTATCATACCAAGCTCTTGGGGCTTGATTGAGTCCATACAGCGCCTTTTTGTGTCTATACACTTGATCACCTTTAGTGTGTAGCTCAAATCCTGGAGGTTGTTCCACATATACTTCTTCCTCTAGGTTTCCGTTGAGGAAAGCCCTCTTGACATCAATTTGATAGACTTTGAAGTCCTTGTGAGAAGCAAAGGCTAGAAAAAGCCTTATACCTTCAAGTCTAGCAACTGGAGCGAAGGTTTCATCAAAATCTATACCTTCTTCTTGATAATAACCTTTGGCTACCAATCGGGCTTTGTTTCTGACAACAACGCCGTTTTCGTCCATCTTGTTCCGGAAGACCCACTTTGTCCCAATGACATGTTGATGAGTAGGTCTTGGAACCATTTTCCAGACATCATTTTTGGTGAATTGGTTGAGTTCTTCTTGCATTGCATTGATCCAATCAGAATCAGCTAGAGCTCCTTCAATGCTCTTTGGTTCTACTTGCGAAATGAAACATGCAAGCATTGCTTCAAGATTTTGTTGAGCGCTCCGGGTGCGAACGCCTAATTGGATATCTCCAATAATTTGTTATGGAGGATGATCCCTTAACCAACGAATATTGTGTTGATTAGGGTGGACTGGCTGATCTAGCTCTGTTTCTGGTTGAAGTATGGAGTTTGTTGGTGTTTCTGGATGAGCTGACACCTGATCACCATTTCCAGAATTGTCGCCATGTGAGAGATTTGGAGTTTCGGAAGGCTGGACATGAATTTCGGTAGGCTCAGCCCAGTATGAATCCGGATTTCTCCGAGAAGTCTTCAGTGGTAGACTTCCGAATGGAATGAACTCCATTGGCTTCATTCTATCTCCTTCATTGACTTCTTTATCTTTGTCTGAGAGATCCAGAACCTCATGATCATGCTTTGATGGTTTGTCAACTACATGTTTTTCATCAAAAACAACATGTATTGACTCTTCAGTGATCATGGTTCTTTTGTTGAAAATTCTGAATGCCTTGCTAACCAGAGAATATCCAAGGAAGATTGCTTCATCTGATTTCTCATCAAAAGTGTTCAAATGGTTCTTCCCATTGTTCAACACAAAACACTTGCTCCCAAAAATGTGGAAATATGATATATTTGGCTTTCTCCCATTCCATAGTTCATAGGGAGTTTTTTGTGCCTTTTGTATATCATACTCCTATTTTGACTGTAGCAAGCAGTGTTTTTATAGCTTCAGCCCAGAACCTTTTTTGTAAGGAAGTTTTTGCTAGCATTGTTCTTACTGCTTCCTTCAAGGTTATCTTTCTTCTTTTGGCTACACCATTCTGCTGTGGTGTTCTTGCTGCAGAGGTCTGATGAAAATTCCGTTTTCTTCACAGTAGTGAATGATGATCTCATTTAGGAATTCTGTGCCTTGGTCAGATCTGATCTTCTGGATGGTCTGAGTTGCTTGGTTCTGAATCAACTTCATGCAGTTTGTGAGCTTCCCTTTTGTTTCCTTCTTGCTATTGAGGAAGATTGTCCACGTGTACCTTGAATAGTCATCAACTACTACTAAGACATATTGCTTTCCACTTAGACTTATTGGAGTGACAGGTCCAAATAAATCCATGTGGATAAGACTTAGTATCCTTGTAGTTGAGTGCGCTGGCTTCGCCTTGAAAGTGGACTTGACTTGCTTTCCTTTTTTACAAGCATCACAGATGCTTTCGTTCTTGTACACAACTTTGGGAAGTCCTTCCACTAACCCTTCTTTGGACAGCTTGTTTCGGGTGTCGAAGTTGAGATGACTCAACCTCTTATGCCAAAGCCTTAGAAGGTTAGTGTCACCTTTGCTGATTAAGTAGGCCTCCTTGACCTTCTCCCACATTACTTCGTAGATGTTTCTGATTCTCTTTCCAGTGAGAATGACTTCATTTGTGGAGATGCTCTTGAGGGATACCATGTCCTTGCAGAACTCCAAGGAGTAACCTTTATCACAGAGCTGACTTATGCTTAGAAGGTTATAGTTGAGACTTTCCACATAGGATACTGTCTAGATGGTTAGCCCCTTGTAGACTAGATTTCCCAGCCCCTTTGTAAGGCCGAAATCATTGCTTCCTCCAAAAATAACTCTTGGACCGTCATAGGGAATTAGATTGGTCAAAAGGCTCGCATCATCTATCATGTGTCTTGAACAGTCACTGTCTAAGTACCAGACACCTGGGTACTTAGTGGCTTTCTCTTCATCAACATCATCTTTGGCAATGAGGCAGAGAGTTTCATCTTCTAACATTGTCGAACGGTCTTCATGGTTGGACTTCTCAATTCTGCGCTCCATGCAAACGAGGGCTTCCTCATCCGAGCTGGAATTGGATGACTCGTCACTCTTAGCTGCTACCATTGTCTTCTCCTTCTTTTCGTTCCTTTCTCCTTCTTCGTACTTCTCCACTTTTGGGTACGGACATGCTGACCTCCAGTGTCCAGGCTTCCTGCAGTTATAACACAAGTAAGATTTGGGGGGAGAGTTACTTACCTGTAGCTTTCCCTTGGATGGCCTTCTTGTGAAGTCAGTCTTCTTGAAAAACGTTTTAAACTTATGGAATTGCTTGACCACCATTGCAAATTCCTCTCCAAAGTTCTCCGCCTTTGAGCTTGGTTGCTGGCTGGTGGAGGGATGTCACAGCTCTTTTGACATGTCCCTTCACTTGTTGTGACTCTGACCTTTGTCATCAGTGATGTGGGATAAGGAGCGGCTTGTTCCTTCTTCTTCTTCTTCTCCAGCTTGTGCTCATAGGTCCTGAGCTCGTGTAGGAGTCCTTAGACGGTGTAGTTCTCCAGATTCCTTCCTTTTTCCATTGCTGTGGGCTTGGTGTACCACTCAGCCGGAAGAGATCCAAGTAACCTTACGTTCTTTTCTTTGGGAAAAAGAACGTGGTTAAGTAATGCAAGATCATTAAGAATCTTGTGGAATCTCTCATCCAACAAGTCAAATGATTCACCAGGAAGCATCTTGAAGTTTTTGAACTTCTCAAGTAGTACTTCAATCTTCGGATTTTTCAAGTCCTCTGATCTCTCACACAGCTTCCCAAGACCTTGCTATATCTCCATGGAAGTCTAGAGATGCTTGATCTTGGAGAAAGTGATGGGATCAAGTGTCTTGAAGATGGCTTCCTTGGCAACATTGTCCAGGTTGTGCTTCTTGCAGTCTCTATCATCCCATTTTTCCTTGGGCTTTGGAATGTACGTCTGGATTATTTGGATCTCTCTCTGGATTCTCCATTTGAATCTTCAAGGGCCCCTCTTCAAGCACCATCCACATGCAGTCGTGCAGGGCGTAATGGTGTGCTTCCATCATGATCTTCCAGTCATCATAACCAAGAAGAGAAAACTTTGGCAAACCATGATCCATATTGTTCACCATTATGATTGCTTCTCTTTAATCTAAATATAGATAGTGAGAAGTTTGCTATGATACCAATTGGTTGTCCCCTAAGTGGTGAGATACATAGTCTAGAAGGGGTGGGGGTGAATAGACTTTGATAGAAATTTAAAAACTTTTTCGTTTCTTTTGAAAAAGTGAAATGAGTATTAATCTAAAGTTCTTGAGAATTTAGATTATGTGCGGAAGTTGGTGGATTGATGGAGCAGTAATCAATATGGATGGGTTAGTTTCACAGTTAATATAATCAAAAAATAAGTAAAGATAAGAGAGAGAGACACACAAACTTTAACGAGGTTTGAAGGTGGGGTAATCCTTCTACGTCCTCAAAATCCACTATGTAGTTCGTTATAGAATATTAACCAACAATTACACTTTGTGAATTTTTGCACAGTATATCTTCGCAAGGCAAATATTGCTATTGCACTTGTGCTGGCTTTGTTGTTCCTTCGAAGGTCAAGCTTCTTCAACAACTGCAAGGTCCGAATAATAAGACTTGCAAGATCAGCTTATAAGAAAGCTAATGTCCCCGTTTTAATCAAGATGTTTGATTAAAAATGTATCCTTCAACGTGGTTTGGTACTTAAGGTAATGAAACCTTCAATTGTTTTCACTTATAGCTCTTTGGAAGAAGGAGGAGTTTGCTTCTGGATAAGGAGTTTAGAATACTCTCTTTATCAAGATTTTTGGTTAACTGTGAATGATGGTAGATTCAATGATCCGTTGGTTGGTGTGTATCTTCAATATTCAATGGGAGCTATATATAGGCTTGATGGATTAATCTATCCGTTGAGGGAAATAGACTATCCGTTGCATTTGATGGCTTCAATTTGAACGAATTGAAGAGGGTGACTGGGGATTGTCCTTGGAGTAATTTTTGGACATAACTAATTGTTTGGAGAGGGATTCCTTTGTCACAAAATCCGTCCTCTTGCTGTTGTTCAAGAATTCTGAACTGTAGCTCTTTATCGAGTGGAGTACTCAATTTGTCTTATTGTGCTTGTTCAAGAATTCTAACCGAGCTCTTCAACTTGTGGAGTCCAGAATTTGTCTTCTTGTCATTTGATCTTGAATCAGCTAAGTTATCCTCAATCTAGCCGTTGAAAATCAAGAGATTTATTTTTCATTGCCAACGGGCAGACTTTTTTCATTCATGACTTAGATAAAGTTTCTAAGTCTTTTCTCACTTGTCCGTTCTGAGAGTTCCCGTCCACCTTGAGAAGTCCGGCTCTGAGCTTGACAGTTCCAGATTAGTCTTCCTGAGACTTCCGGGTGAGAAAGTGATTCGTGCTAGTCTTCCGATTCGGATGACTTAGTCTTCATACGAATGGCTGCGAGACATCCGGGTAGAGTTGAGCATTCCGGTTTTGAGAATTCCAAAGTAATCAGACTTCTTTGAGAATTCTTTTCTTGTCTCTGACATTTCCGAGCGAGAGTTCCAATTTCCATATCACTGACTTTGATAAGTCTTCCAAGAGTGAAAACTCCAAAACTCAAAATGAAATATCACAGGTTTTATTTGAAAGCTCAAGAACTTGCTTTTAACAATATTTTTAAAAAGAGAAATTACATGAAGAATGGGGGAGACCTAGAGTCCCTATTATAATCTAAATACATCATCATCAAAATCTATAATATTTTTCCCAACAAAATGCATAAGGTATGGCGTTTTGTGAATAGACTATGTATGGGAGTTGAATGAAAAAAATTCGCCCTTTTATAAACTTTTTCTATAGTGAAAGTATGTTTTCATGCTTGATTGGTGAGTTGGGGTTTTAAGGTATATTTCAAAATGGGCCTTTGAATTGCATGACTCCGGGCCGTGTGGAGAGTTGACAATCCTCCATATTGTGGTTAAGGAAATGAATCAACTCGGATTTTGATCGATTTTTCCTATTCTAAAGTGCGTAAGTTACATAATATATCGTCTACGTGCCTATTATACGTGTAATGTTTGATTGTGTTTGTTCTCTTTTTCATTTTGTTTCGGGTTCTTGGTGGTGTTTCTTGGGTTACCTTAGTTGAAAAAGTTGAATATCTTTAGATCTTGTTCCCCCCCCCCATTTTATAAAAAACAAAAAAATAAGAAAAATATAAAAACACCAAAAAATTATTACTTTGTATTCACCCCCCCCCCCCTTCATGTTTTGAGTTATTGTATAAGTTTTTATTCACTAAGTTATAGTATAAGTGTTTTTTTATAAGTAATAGTATAAGTTCATTATTAATATAAGTTATTTATAAGTCCTTATGTTTATTTCAATAAGTTATATTATAAGTTTTATAAGTCTTATCATATGTGTAGTAGCTAGTTTGCTTTTATTTGTTTCATTTTTGTGACAATGTGTTTGCATGCTAAATTGGTTTGAAAAAGTACAACTTTCTCCGTGGGATCGACCCTTTCTTGCCCTAGCTATAGGTTTTATTTGATTATATATTGGAGGCTAGCTAGGGATATTTTATAAATTTTTAATTTGTTTTGGACCTTACGACAAGTCTTGAACAGCCTGAGATTAAGAAATGTGGAATGCGGGGAGGTAGAACTCCAATTTGAGCCGTGGTGGAAACTGCAGTAGCATCTCCCACCGCTAAGATGCTGGCTGACCAAAGAACAAGGAGGTTACACTCAACAAACCATAAATCAAGGTTAGTAAACAAATCAAATCTTGAGTGCTTCCATTTCCACAAGTATGGTCACTACCGAAATAAGTTCTACACCAATTTGAAGGGGAAAAATGAAGAAAAAACTCATTTTGCTGTAAGGGAAGAAGAGATATCCCTCTTAATAGCTTGTAGCATTACTGAACCAGCTCAAAGGAACAAGTGGTATTTGGATTCTAGGTGCAGCAACCATATGTGTTAAGATAAAAATAATTTTACCACTCTTAACGAGTCATTTCGCAACACTGTCAAGTTTGGTGTTGACTCCAATGTTTCAGTTATAGGAAAAGGAACAGTCTGTCACCAAGTCCAAGATAACTCGACCCGCATCATCTCTGATGTTCTTTTTGTTCTAAACTTGAAGGCCATTCTGCTCAGTATTGGTCAACTCAAGAAAAGGGATGTGTAGTTTCTATCAAGGATGGATTGTGTCATATACGAGATGCAAAGTTGGGTTTTGATAAGTCCATTTTGTTCTTATTTTATTCTACATATTTTAAGTGCTATTACACGAAAATAGTAATAAATTTACCCATTAAAGGTGTCTATTAGTAACAATCTTATGTTTCGTCTCATGAAGAATAGAATATGGGTTCCAAATTAAATTAAGTAGATTTTTCAATTTTATATCCCAAATTGGAGAAAAAGTTTCAGATTTTAAAGATCACAATACTTTGGACGTAGAAATCAGTGTTCGGGAGCCAAATGGGGCAATACAGAAAAAATTTGGGCCCAAATTCGCGATTCGAAGCAAAAGGGTGCAGGATGTGGGTCCTAGGCATCCAATGTTGGATGACTGGGGTAGTTGGACGCCTAAACAAGGAAGGGTGACATGACCCTGCCACGCAGCGCAACGGGACTAGACAAAACACGTGGTCAGGGTACGGGCATCCAAAGTTGGACGCCCAGAGGGTTCGACGCCCGCACCTTCTGCCCTATATATACCATGCGATACACACCATTTTCATCAACTCTCAACCCCTTTCAGGTTCCCTCCTCTATTTTGCTCAACTTTCTTGTATATTAGTTTTAGTATTAGTTTTGAAGTAATTTCAGAGGTTTTGACTCCAAACTTGTTTTGTTCCGTTTAATTAGAGTTCCGTAACTTTTATTATCTAATAAAATGATGTTTTAATTTATGTGTGCATAGTATGAGTTAGGGTTCGGGTCCCTGGGTCCGAACTAGTTTGGTTGTATACTTTGAATATTAAACTAATGTTGGAATGATTAGTCTCTTGTTCTTGCTATATCTAGTTAACTAATATCGAAAGATTTAATTAGCTATTTATTGAGGAAATATTATATGTCGAAAGGCTATCATATTCAAGGCAACAGATTAATTACGAATCCTAGAAATATGTAAGTAATAATAGAAATATTATTATTCCAAATATTGATTAAATACGACAAAGTTGATCCAAATGATGCCCAAACACTAGGTCTATATCTTGCTTATACTATGTAAATAAATTTACCTTCATTTTTTCTCTCCTTTAACTAATTCCCTTCAACCACTCCTCGACACACGATACTCGGAGAGAAAACTGACCCTTTAATAGAAAGGTTTACTACCCAAAAAACTACACTCGACCAGGTTTGATTGCTCGAGTCAAAATAATGGAAAATCGTATGTTTCCACCCTACCTTCAGCCTACTAGTCTTGGTGGGCTAAAGACATTGCAACAGAAAAATATGGTCTCTGTCTTCCTCAAATCACTGTTCCTTGTCAGGTCTATTAAGAGTGTGTTGTTAGCAAATATCACTTTAGTCAATTTCCTAAAAGAGCATCGTGGAGAGCAAAGAACTTATAGAGTTGGTGCATTCTCATATCTGTGGGCCGATTAAACCAGCGTGTAATGGAGGTAATAAATATCTCCTCACTTTCATTGATGATTTTAGAAAATAATTATGGGTTTATTTTCTAAAAGAAAAATTAGAAGCCTTTATTGCATTTAAGAGCTTTGAAATATAGGTTGAGAAGGAAAATGGTTGTCCAATTAAGGCCTCCATATAGATCGTGGGGGTGAATATATATTTGCAGAACTTAAGAAATACTATGCAGATAATGTAATTAAAAGGAAAGTTATAGTAGGTTATACACCACAACAAAATGGTGTAACTCAGCGGAAAAATCGCACTATTATGAACATGGTGCTGAGCCTATTGAAGAGAAGTGGTATCTCCAAGGCTTTTTGGCCAGAAGCTGTGAATCGGAGTTCTCTATTTTGAACAGAAGTTCTACATTTGCTGTTGAAAATATGACACTGGAGGAGGCTTGGAGCGGAAATCAACCAAGTGTAGAGTATTTCTAGATCTTTGGGTGTATTGCATATGTCCATATTCCCAACCAAAAGCGATCTAAATTTGATAAAAAAAGGGAGAAGTGTATTTTTCTTTGTGTTAGTGATCAATCAAAGGCTTATAAACTTTATAATCCTATCACCAATAAAATAATTGTTAGCCCGGATGTGGTTTTTT